TACGCTCCTGAAAAGGCTCTTTTCTAGCGAAAAATATATTTAAAAGGTCATTTTATGAAGTCGACGTTACCCTATATTCAGTCAATTTCCTTTGTTTATAAGGAGTACCGGCAATACAGGGAGACTAGAATGACCATTTATAGCTTATTAGTTGTATCCAACCAATCATACCCAACCTTAGATTTGCAGCACCTGAGATTCGAACCCGGGATATTTGGTCATTGAACGTTATTAAGTTTAACGCTTTATCATTGAGCCACGAGCCAGTCGCCTTGTCGGTTGCGATCGGGAATATTAACTATCGTGGGGATATTCACGCCCTGCTGTGCTTTGGGCCTCGATCTGGAGCCAAGCAGGCAGCCGCATAGAGACTACTAACATGTGCAAAAGGAGATTATCAACAAGGACAAGGAAGACCGGGATGGTTATTTCTCGTTAATCATACCCAAATCGAGGTCTGGGTAATCTGGGATTCGAACTCGGATTTTTTGGTCATTGGGCGTTTCCAAGGCTAAAAACCGTCCCATGGTGGTGCATCAGAGCTCCCTCTCCTACCATTAAATGAAACGAAGGAGATTTTCCAAAACAACATTGGTCCACTTGGAAACTGATTTCTTGGTCAGGTGAAGCAGGGTGTTAGTAAGCACGTTATTTTCACTAAGCCAATAGTCATTTCTCTTAGAAAAACTCAAATTGGTGTGCATGCGGCAATAAAGCCTACAGGCGAATACCTTGTTTTAACTTTATTTTCCTCGCGTGAGCAAACATTTCCTAAGTCGACGTGAAAAGTTCCGCAACAAAGCTGTCATCTTAAGGCTTTAGCGTATGATCAGGTACTTTTTGTGCGGTCTAGTTTCCGCCAATAAGTAATTTGGAAACGTAACGAGCGCAGCATTAGCAGTTAGAGCGGCATTTTAGTCTAGGCGGAGTAATTGGCCACGCGGGGAGCGCACTGGTGAACACTCTTCCCAACACCCGGGTCAACGCGTCAGATGGTCGAGCAATCATCACACCAACATCCAACGCACGTGATGAAATTGCGGCAATTAACGACGCGAATATCGGCTATCACGCCACGGGCAACGAACCCTAATGAAGGGGAGGGAGCCGTGAATATTGATAGGTATGCGGTAGCATGGCTACTGCATCCTATAAATACTGCAGCCGCGTGTGCATGAGCCACCCTTATCTGCTTATGTTTCTGATGATGGAGTCGAGCGGGAATCCGAAACGTCAGGCTAATAAAGCTCTTTTCCCGGCGATCGTGTCTTCTTCTTCAAGATTCTTCGTTAATATGGCTATATTTCTCAAGGACAAATGGAAGCGAGCGCAGCCAATACCGGGGAGATGACGAAATGCAATCAACTCACATTTATGCAGGCTTATGCCAACAGCAGAACCCACTTGCTCGACAGGGCTAAATAGTTAACTGTTTTTTTACATGACTCATAAGTCTGATGACAAGCTGGGAAACCAGCTGCGAAAACTTACAAAATAAAAGTTATTTCGTTCCACAACAACTTCACCAATTTCAAATTCCATTTCCTGGGATGCCTGTTTTCCAATATATATATATATATATATATATATATATATATCAATCAGGAATGGGCGCACACCGATCTATTGGCTTCACAAAGCAAACAAGCTCCGTATGTGTGGCAAAGGTCACGAACAGGCAACCAATTACCAGGTCGAAGTCGGCCAAGTCATAATAGCAGCGAGGAGGGACGACAGAGAATGCGGGTAGATTGATACAGCACTGTTTCGGGCTTATTCTGCCTTCATTCAGCCAATCATAACCCTGACCACCAGCAGGGTTATCTAGGTCGGGAGTACGGTATAATACCTTTACCATATGAAATTCATGCTACTCGTAGTACTACTTGTTTGTAGAATGGGCATTACGTGGTTATTCCACAGTAGTTGATTGTCTTCGACTCAAATGTTCATTGAAATTTCGGTTCTGACCCTAAAAAGTCATGTCCCGGAGATTTAACTCCAAGTTCTGCACTGATTAATTTCCGAAATTATTCACCTGATTATTCTCTGGAGTTCATATACCAGAAACCGCTAGAGAACGCTGGAGGTCCCACTGAAGAGCCGAACCCCTCGCAGCTGTGTCACGCAGCGGCAGAATATCGGCGAAACACGTGTCTGGGCTTTTAGCAAGTATCTAGGTCGGGAGTACGGTATAATACCTTTACAATATATATATATATATATGTATCAAGTGACTAATTTAAGAAATTACTCAATGCAGGGCCTGGAGTTAAGTCTCCGGGACATGACTTTTAATATATAAATATATATAATATTTGAAAACAGGCATCCCAATAATCATAATTGGAAAGAAATAGGCTCTTTGGGAAAGAGCCCAAAGAGCCTATTTCTTTCGAAATATATACTATATACACAGTGGTGGGAGGGCGCTCACCGATCGTTTCTACGGAACTCACTCGTCCCGTTGTGCCTTACCGGCTCTCCCTTTCAAGACCAACCAGTAGCCGCACTTCTTTTCGGCCGCCTGCAAATTCCCACTCGGTAAAAGGGTGGCTGCTTAGGCAGTATACATTTTCTCCATCGATTCTCCGGTGTCCTTGTAGATTAAAAATTATTTCATAAAAAAACTTCCAAAAAATATTATTTCTTGTAGTAATTTGGTAGCAAATCATATCTCCTTCAAATATTATGCTCGAAGAAGAGGCATCTATTGGTTTCCTAATAATTTTGGACTCGGTCAACCGTTGCATTTTCGTATAGGGTTTTCCGTGTGAAGGAAAACATACATTCCTTTATGTGATTAAGAAAACGTCATATGGGGCTCATGAGATGTAACAACTTATGTGTACTATGTTGTGTACTTTAATGAGGAGCATTATAAAGCAGGCAGACACGATGCTATTCGTGTGGACATTGTACAATTCCATAATTAGAACATATTCCATAATTAGAAATTCCATAAATTCCATAACTAGAATTCATAACAATTCCATAATTAGAAACTTGTTTAAAACTGAAAGATGTCCTTTCTTCGAGTACAAAATTTGAAGAGGACGTGATTTGCCACCAAATGACTACGAAGGAGAATATTTTTGTGCATGTTTTCTCAGTTTTTTTTTAAATTCAAAAGGGAATCGAAAATCGATAGGGAGAGAATACATGCACTTAGGCAGTCATTTTTCACTGTGTACAATTTTGCAGGCGGCCGAAAAGAAGTGAATTCAAAAGCCCACATACTGGCGTGTTTGAAATATCACTGGATTATGCCAAAAGATAATCAATATTATGACCCCACTTAAGTAATCCTTCCTAATCGAAAACGCATTTAAGTATTCCGGTCAACATTTAGAAAGATCAACCAGTGGCTGTAAGGTCATTAGACACCTATAGCCTACTTGTTCGCTTGGCCCTACAACCTAAAAATTTTGAGTCAAAGCTCTCGTTGGCTTGATTTACTACCCCAGCCTCAGACAATTCAGATCCCACAAGCTCGGGAAGTTCACTCCGAGAGAAGGCACAAACACTTCGCTAATGACAGCCAAAACAAGTATTCGCAAAAGTCTTCTGTCTCTCAAAGAGAGATGTTAGAGAACAGGGTTATTGGAAATGTACGATAGCCGGTTCACAGAGTGGTTCAGTGCTTCAGAAGCCAGCGGGTCTACCTTTAGCTGAAATTCGGTAGCGCAGATCGTCATAACGTACAAGGCTATCTCTCTGTGCGCTTGTTGGTCCTATAAAACGTAAGTTCACATTTTTATCTCAATAATTCTCCGTTTTTGCAGATTATATCGGTTTCATACTGGGTCAAAAGGGAACCAAAGAAAACTTACCCTTTATATCAAAACCTGCACATTGAATAAACAAGTACGTAGATCTTGTGACGAGGCCCTGTGGGATAATGGATGGATCACTGTCTTGCCTACCAGGGTGTCCTGGTATGAGTTCCGACTTGCCAGTTGGCCCCTGATGACGACTGTGAGTCGATGTCAACACTAAAACTGCAGCTACTATTATAAACAAAGAGTACCGTTCACCGAAAAAGTTCAGACGCTTATTATCTATCTACCTTGACGTAAATTTTATGCTGCATCTGCTGCGTAGAGGGATGTAGGAGGCTGAGAAGGGAGCTGACAGGCATGCCCTCGACGAGCATTTCAGCAGTGGAAGCGGTAGAACTGCAGGCGGGAACCGAACTCCGGCCCATTGAGGTAAACATGTCGGGTGCTGATGCCTCCATGGCAGGACTGACGCCGAGTTGGGAGGGCGAACCGACCACAGTGCTGGAGACTGAGTTGCTCAAGTGCCCAACCTGTCCGCCACCACCACCACCACCACTACCTGCGAGCACGGTGGAGTGCGGGTTGGTAGAGGGCGGCGCGGAGACGGGAGCAGTGACGACGGGTGGACAACCTGCGAGCAAAGGAATGCTGTCCAACGAGGGCGGGGGGAGAGGAGACCTCCCCTTGTGTGGCACCTGAGAAGATGATGTGGAGCAGTTTTGGTAAATCCAACAGGCTCGATAACCAAAATACGCAATATTTTGAACTCTCCTCTCAGCTCTCCTCGACAATAAGGGCGGCTTCGCCGTAACAACTTTGAGATTTTCAAACGTAATTGAGGGCTGCAAGTGGTCTAAGTAGCCCCTCTTGGAGGGCTTGACATCTTTATTTATTTACGATGTCGATTCTGCAGCTTGAAGTAATATATGTTCACTGTTTAGGATAGCTGAACGACTGCCATTAGGAGATTGGCTGACATTACCAGGCGGCTACATTATTAAAAATGGTCTTAGGCTAAGTCCGACGCGGCAAAAGTAATGCACTCGAGAAGTAGGCGAACTACTTTAGGTTTGAAGTATAAGTGTGGAAAGGTGATCTAACCATATAGAGTACATCATGCGGCCTATGCATGTACTACTGAGTGCCTATTAGGAGTTTATGAATGTTATGCGGTCATTACGCCGTGGCTGATGGATTTCGACCTAAATACTCATATCGAATTTAAGTCTGAGCTTACACTTCTCAAATAGGCTGACCTACTCCAAGTTAACGGCAAATTTCTGAGAAAATGAAAAATCTGCAATTTTGAAACTGGAGTATCCACCAGAAAGCATACAGGGAATTCCAGGTTTTTAGCTATTACCTTTGCTGTCAAGTATGTTATAAATCTCAACCTGTTCAAGTAAAATAACTCTATGGGTAATTTGTGTTTGCACAAATACGATTTCAATAAAGCATATTACCGGATCGTGGTTGGTTCAATCCCGTTCCGCTTATCCTTTGGGATTATGTAGATTGACATCTCTACCGATGAGTAATCCGAGGGTGCTCACAGAGAAACCTTATCGAATTTCCTTTGTTGTCAATAACCAATCTTGGGCCCATAAGATGTCAATGGACAATAAGGATGGATTATCTCCCCTACTCCCCCCCTCCCTATTTAACGCTATTTCTCATGATGAGGCAGAGGCAGACACCCTTGATTTGCACGCGTCTACTGCATGGTACTTTGTCGACAGCCCTCACGCTCGAATAGTTCGCACAGTGTGTACAGTGGTCGTCGGCTTGTGTCTGTAGCTTTCTCGGTTGTCTTTCCATCAGTATTAAGTTTTCTTAGCGGCCACGGTCACCTGGTAGCCCAGATAATAGATTGACAATTGGAGTTTGCTCCAGGACGGCAGTTTTTTGGATCTGTGATCTCCTTAAACCTAATGATCTGCACCACTAAAACACACAATTTTCACACAGACTATGACTTGTCAGGTTGTTCGGATGGTCATCTGATATTCCGAAGAGTCGAAGGTGAGCTTCTATCTAGCCCAGTACCGTCTAATGGATTTATGAGAAACAAGAGCGGAATATTTATTGCGAGGACCACACCTGAAAAGGTCCGGTGAATAAACTTAAAGTTTAACGACGTCTGACGAAAAACTATGCGCGGTTTCACGAGTCAGATATCACATGTGCAGTAAAATGCGCCTTCAAATATAGAAACTCGTGGGGCCTCGTTCCATTTGATTTTCAGGACTCTGTGGGTTGCGTCTTGCTTAATGTGCCTGGTGGTGCACGAATAGGTTAAGGAATTACCATGAGGTCACAAAAGCTTTAGGCGTTCAACCAGAACACCCCCAAGGACTGTGTCGGATACCTCGGCTAGGAAGAAGTTATCCACGAAATTCCGTGTAGTAGATACGGTATTAAATACAGCAGTGGAAGGGGTGGATCCGCGTTCATCGCTCATATGAATACCTTCTGGTAATGAGAGGGTGCCATACGACAAAGGGAACGCTGGTTCGAATCCAGAGAACGGGCCGGCGCGGGTTGCTTGCAGACCAAGTGAAAAGCGGGGAGGCATGAAGTGTTCGCGTAATGATCACATAAAAAAACCGGCGGATATTCGTACCCGCTGGATCACAAATGGGCATCTAACAGCAATGTTCAATTAATGGCAGGATAAGAGCTCACATGCGCCGAGGGCTGGGGATGCGACGCTGCGGGGAATATTTCGGAGGCCTGCTTCCTGCATGAGATGAGGTCAAAAGAAAATATGAAAGGGCACAATTTCCGTCACAATTAGCAACTAGGACACTATGAGGTATGATCATTAGCGATCTCTTCCAGCGACAGCTGGCTCAAATTGACTAGATTTGATTTGTGCCGCTATCAAATAATCTACCCTTCAAATGCAAGGAGGGAAGAAAGATTCTACCTGTACAGGTGACAACCGTCCTGCGACAATCAAACGACACTCATAGGTGACAAAAGGGTGTAACAGAGCGCGCAGGACAGGAGAAACCGACTTACAAGCGCTGGCTAGCGCCTACTGTTTCATTGCTGGACTTTGGCTTGGTCTGTTCTCGTTCCCCGCAGCTGGTTGTAGAGACCTTTTGGCTGTTGCCCGAGTGGCTGGCGACAACTGGATGCCAGAAGAGGAGACGATCGCCACCCGCTCCGGAGGAAATAAGGAGGATGCTGCGTGGAATTATCTCCACCTCGTTCCAGAAGACAATGCTCGAGTTCAGGGAGGTCATGGCGGCCATTATGTGTTGACGAAAAGCATCAGTCAGTGCTGAAAAAGAGGTGGGCAGCGGTGAAACCACGGCCAGATTCTGTGGATGGACTTGGGTTATATGGTTTGTAGTTCGTGGAGATACCGGTCAATTTCACTGAAGGCTGTCTTGGTCAGTTACTAATATCCAAGTCCAATTACCTAACACTATGCTAGATACCCAAACGCAAATGCTAAGGGAAAAAACCTATCAGAAGAAGCTGTCAGCAACTTATCGCCGCCGGTTCTCTGATCAGGAAGTCGAGATCAATAAGGAGCCAGTGAGTGTCTTAGTGAACATACGTAGTATTTCCGTCTAAAAGTTGATCCTTACGCCTCAGGCATATCCTTCCCAACGCACAGCACCTCGCTCACTGGCACATTTACTTATTTGCAAAAAACTGGTTTTTGATAACTTCGTGGAGGACCATAAAATAGTTTTTTTCAAAGTGTCCTCTTTTCCTCACTGAGAGTATACATATCAGGTAGTTTAGATGCCAAGTGTTCCTTTAGAACTTTCTTTAACAGATCTATCCAAGCATCAGTCCTCCAGCAGTAAAAAGCGTCAGACTCACCAATATAACACAAACGTTCACAGAGACGACACGCCAACGAAAACAAAGAACAGTTGGGCAGTCACTTCCAGCATTTTACTTTTCATCGCGAAGCCATACCTTAACTCAAGACCGGGTAAACATGAGACTTGGGCCCAGAGTTGTAGAGCAAAGCAGAACGCCTGTGTTATATTCCACAATCCATTAAAGACTATGAATACCGCTCCTAGCTCGAGGAAGTTGGGGTATTCTAGAAGTCGCTCATTCCTCATAGTGCAGGCCGCTCAAGAGCTAGGCAGTGGATTCACAAGCACTCACCAGATAGATGATCTTGACTTCTGGCAGTTGGGCCTTGATTCCACTGTTCGGCTCTTGAAAACGTTCTAGGAAACGAGCCTAGCATCCAGCAACATAGAAGACCGGGATGCTTCCCCACAAATTTACGAGTCAAGTATATGTCCTTCAGGCAATACTGCAACTTTTTAGTTGCTTGGTACATTTATATACCGTGAAAGCGGCACATTCGGAAATGATGTTACCCTGCGCACTACCTGACCGTCACGCCGAGTCCTGCAAAAGCAGATATAATCAAACCGGCGATGACATGTACTTGCCTTTGCTGTGGGGGGGGGGAGCATTTTCAATCCAACAAGTCATACATCCCTAGAATCAAAGACGAATGTGCTGGGAGAAAAGCCCAGAGCCGAGAAGAGGGGAGGTCCAGCGAGCAGCGACTTATTGCGACCAGTTTGACGATGTTAAACAAGTACAGCCTGACTCAAACCCAAAAATAAATTCAGGTTGGTTGAACTGGAGGTACTCAAAAGAATTTATACGTCTAATATTGAGGCGTGGACTCACCGGACAAATACCAGCTTTCGAACTAAAACGACAGCAATCAAACAGTGCCAAACGGACACAGCATGCTGTTGCCATCCCACAAAGTCAGTATTACCGCCCTCGATCCGGCACCGTTGCCCACCTGGAGGCGTCAAAGAGGTCAACTCAAGAGACAGATTGTCAAGACATGGAAGCGGCCCTTTAAACCTTCGGTCTACGTCACTGGAGAAGGGAATGGGTCGAGCTGTCCAGATCCGTTACCGCAGCTCGTCACGCGTGGAGGTACAATAAGTGACATCATCGAGGCCGGCTGAATAAGGCATGATCCCAGCCTTACCAAGCACAAGTAAATTGCTGTCATCAGATGGGTCAAAAGGGACGGCCATGTTAGTAGTTCAAATTCCCGCACAGTCCACAGTGCGCTCTCCACGAAAATATTGCCGAGACTCGTCAGAATCACTTGTGATTCGACATTGAACACACAATCTAACGGGTACTGAAGGCCCACGACTTGAGCAGTATGCAGATAAGGAGAACAGCGAGAGTTCCTACCCTCCCCCAGCTCCTCTGACAGAAGCCTTGGTAAGGGAAACATGACTTGGTGCGCGGGACGACTTGAGGTCCTGAGACCACGAAGTCGGGAACTCTATACTACCTAGGGTCAGTAAGTTGTCAACGTCTACTAATAGAAACTGCCATACCTGCTCGGGGAAACGCATACGTATACAGCGGGCGTGAAGGAGCACCTCAGCAACGATTGCGAGATATAAAATCAAAAACGAAGACTATGACGCAGACTGGGTTTTATTGGTTTCACACCATTTACAAAAGGCTATGTGATCAGGCAAAATGAAAGACTGTGCAGTTATGCAGAGGGACAGGGAACTCAGAGCCTGGGCAGGTTAGAGCGTCTTGTACCGGGGATGGAGAGGGACACAAAACTGAAACACGAATGTGAATCGCAGGTTTGGTTGTGCGGTTTTCCCGTTCGATGACCTCGCCCGCCTTGTTGACACGGATTAGCTACATTTGAGGAAGACATTAAGGTTGCGGTGGATCATTATTGTATACGTAGAGTCATTGATATCAACAGCAAAACTTTTGGAAGATTGCGTATAAAACACAAAAACATTGAGTAAACGGATACTAGTTATTACAGCCAGACATGGCCAGGCAACAGAAGAAAAACCTGAAGTGTCAGATTATTTTCGTGGATTCATGGCAGCACAGAAGTGCTACAACCATGAGCAAAAGACTTGACCGACAAAATGGCAGCTTTTGTGACTTAAATAACACACAGGCCACTAATCCCTTCCTAATAAAAGAGAGATAGACAGACAGACAGACAGATGACACGTGACACCAGCAAGCATTTAAAACCAATTATATAGAGGGGGATGCACCTACCCTGATTTGGTTGGCAATTACTACGCAACTTACTCAGCGACTTCCTAAGAATACCTATGATTCTGACCCAAACTATCGTCTTCACGTGAGATCTTAGTCCCCAAATGGAGTCGTGCTGGGCAACTAGTGCCCGAGTCAAGATATTTCATAGACACCACATGCGTCTGCTAGTTATTGATAGCAAGGGTATTTGTGGTAACTCAGTCGCACAGACCTACGAGGGTCAGCGACCGCATGCGCACACTACGTATTCTACGATCGTCAATTCCAGCGAGCTTTCGCAAAAAATAAACAGTGGAGTGTTCAACGTGTGTCCTCACTTGGAAGCATGCAGCATTAAGGTCAAACAGGAATGGGAAGTTTGGAGGCCGTTGATGAAAACCCTCTCCCATATAAAGGAACAATTATGACTAGAGGTAATAAATTGACCAAAACGGCTTACTTCTTCCGAGAGATCCAAATTTTCCGTAAAGAGAAACACTTTTAACTGGTTGGGAAAAAACTTGGTAGACAGGTTATGGGCCACTTCTATGGCCCGATCAATGGCTCCTATGCCAACACCATGAATCCACAGAAACAGTTCGTCATTGTCAGTCTGTGTGTCGATTTTAGAGCTGGCCTCTCCGAGCAGTCGGTCAATTGCAGCCTTGCATATGAATACCTGCTCCTAAAATATGTTGAAAAAAAATAAAGAAGAAACGGCTAAGCAAATGACGACATATGATTGGAACTTTTTGTTCGATGTTGGAAACGCGAATTCATGTCCGAGCTTGACAGAACTAATGATAAGTAGTGGTAGCTTTTGTGCTAAAGGCAAACCTAGCAACACACAAATGATAAATTTGGATTCTATTGAGACTCTGACGTCAAAGAATGCAGCTAGGCCCCGGCCTTCGCGTGCTATGATTATAAACAACAACAACGAAATGAAGTCAACGAGGGCGTAAAGGTCATAGAACATCAGTCGGCACTGCACGGAAGTATAGATATGACTGTCAGCAGAAAATTTCGGAATTCTCTAGTGTCGACGGTACAAGTCGCTGCATGCCTTAAAATTTTGCACTAGCAGATCTCCTTAAAACATTTACGGAAAAAAGGCTTACCATGACTTTCAGTTTTGACGATATCAAAATATTGTTTTTATCACGTTGTACGGGCTGCTTCACACTACACACTACTCCTTCAATTTGTAGAAGCTCTGAGATTTCAAGAGGAGTGGTCGGAGCCATGAGGGCTTACAAGACTCCCGCAGGGATGTTAAAAGAGAGGCGATCACCAAGCTCTCCCCACGAAGGTCGATAGGACTGATAGATCAAATTCCAGGTCAGAAGTCCGGCAAACCACAGGAGCGCACCAACAATGCTCAAGGAGACAACTAGGGTGAGAGTTATGAGTTAAGAGAAGGTGTAGAGGGTGACACTTACACAAGCGGAATTGCCTCCTATCAGGAGTGCTCTCGCTCAGAAAAGCGTCGCGGAAAAACCAAATCGAATTAACCAGCCAGAAGAAAGGAAGGAAAGCTAGTCCCGCTGTAAAAAGAAAGAGAAAAAATTAACTTTATTTCAGCAAGAACATCCGAGAACAGTACAGGACGATGCGCTAAACTCTTAAGGTACCCTGTGACCTCGCCCGACTGAAGGACAGTCGACAGAGCATCCAGCGCAAGTTCTGGAGGTCGGCCTACTAATACACTCAGCTGGGTGCACGAGTTCCCCATTCGCTTTTGTCCGTCTCAATTAGAACTGTTATAATTACCGGAAGGAGTAGGACGCAAAACTGCAAAAAACGTTTGCCGGTACCCGACGAAGATCACCTGGACCTGAATCCCTTGTTCGTCTGCTGTATGTGTGGTTGTGGCCAGGGTGGTTAGGAATAGAGACGATTGTCATGTTAGGGTATAACAGGGATGATTAGGACAAACTTGCAGAAGCAATCCGGTAGGACGGACGCTACTCTACAGCCCAGCCACCGAGTTAGGACGAAAATAGAGCTAGGACTTGTCTTTGCTTCGTAGAAAGAAAGAGGGTTTGCACTGTCCTCGTGCCGTTAGGCAGACCTGGTGTCACACAGACTGAACAATTTTCAGCAAATCAGAAAGCGCATACGAGGTTATATTTATCAGCTGGAAGTATGACATCAAATGAGGATTGATTTTTTTCAAATTACTAATTGGAGCGCTGAAAGAAGCGGCCTACTTTAGGACTTAGCTTCTATCTGCCCGTGGCGTAACGATCGTGAGTGGCCCTCTTGGCACTATTGCTTTACGGGCTGGATGTCAACCATAACATCAAGCGGGGAACTGGCGAACATAAGTTATGTCTAACTCCTGGACCTTCATAGTGCGGATTTTTCAATTGTGACTAACGACCACGGTATCCGTCAGCTTGTTTATGAGAGTACTAGGCAATGTTCGGTGGAATATGAGTACGCCACTAACACCGAAAAACGAAAGGGCACACAGGAAAGATTCTGCATAGTAACATGTTGATGCTGCTCAGGTTTCCACGGGCAGCTTGTCAGACTACTGATCGCATAATATTGACTTTTCGGCCGCCAGCACATAATTCTACCACAATGAGGTCGATGCAAGTTGTACCCGGAATGATGTCGAAGCTGTGCCGACTGGTCAGGCCGAAGTCATTCGTATAGTAAAATTCGGTGCCATCGAGGATCGCACTTGTGATTACGTCGTGCTATAGTCAGCCTTATCGTTGCTGCGGTGTACCACCCAAAGCTGGGCAATGGTACTATGGAGAGACCTTCACAGACGCAGTAAACAATGAACAGACAGGTCTCAAAATTTTAATTTGTAGTCTTTGGGAGGGTTTTTTCTGCAATTGATTTCGGCGGCTACACAGGTTGCGGCTAAGCAGATCTTGACAAGCTCGTTAGTGCCAGTTTGTCTAGCTGCTTGGTAAGTGTAATTATTTATTTCCAAAACTCGAGGACACATACTGTGCTGGTGTTTAAATCGCGGTCATAGTGGATATCTAGTTGACTGTACACATCTCCATGCTAAACTTCACATTGGAGTCGATACGAACAGCGCAAACAGCTGTTTAAGAGTAGGTGTGTCGGAGGGAGTGGTCTAAGGGAAAATATATTATCGACAATCTCGAAGGTTGTACACCTCCCAAGGAGTTGATAGTTCGGAGGATTTCTAGGCAGGGATCCTTAGACTACTGCAGTGTCCTGTTGGATATGCTTGCACTAACGGTAATGATATTCCTCTGGATGTTAGTTCACGATAAATCCGTACTTACATCGCTACCATACTTATATGACGCCAAATGCCGAGAGAGATTAATGACCGACGGTGCCCCAAATGACCTAAGCAGGGACCCGCGTATATTCTAAACGGGAAGTTTCGTCCCGGTCTACGACATATTTATGCCACATTGCTAAGAGGTTGAATGTTCGCAAGTACGAGTTTTGGTATGAAACACATGTGCAGAGATGCACAACGCGCTGACGAACCTAATCGATGTGGGTATCGATTGCTCCCGATAAATGCGCAGGCAATCAAATAAGATGCCGCGCCCTTTCAAGTTTCCTACCAAATATCGGGTATCGGAGTCGAGCATTTCTGCAAACAAGTTCACGGCGGACAGGTTAACCTGTTCCCTAAAAGTCCTAGTATATCACTAACGCCCAGATTGGCATTGCTGCTAGCACGCCGACGGGACCGTGGGATTGAACAAGCTAACGGTAATATGAAGATCGCTAACAACAAAGATGAGGATACTTCGGCATCTCCCATGCGCACGCTGGGTGGCTAAGATATTCATACAATGGAGTGGGTACGGGAGTCGTCGGTTGACGTTATGACTGACATTAGTCTACGAAGGGCCTTAAATGGGGAGGGAGCCCATTGCCACTGCGTGCGTAAATGAAGAGCAATAAGTGGTGGGCGGCGACATGGAAACAAGTGCGAACGATTTTTGCCCTCACTCAGGCCGGTACTTGAACAAACTGAGTGCGTCTTGAGCCAAAAAAGAGAGTAACCGGCTAAACGAAGACCTCAGGCACTCGGGAGGGGATAGAACTGATGTGAATAAGCAAACTTGCCGTAGAAGTATATCCTACAGATTCTCAATCGGCCACACTGGGCGGCAGTTTCCATAAAGGCGATTGGTTCTCCCAACTTTTAACTCTGGCGCTTCCCAAAGTAGTGCAAACAAAGTTTCACAGGACTTGGTAATCGTAAGGATTATTAGACTTTAGATTTATGCAGTCAGCCAATCACAACAACGCGCGGAGATTTCAAGCCAAAATGCGTGCGCGTTTTTTGAAGTTTACTCTGGAATTTCCCATTAGATAGATCGGAAGTTTAGTGGATAATCCTTGTTGGATTGCCAGAATTATTCAGTGATTTCCTTAAAAAAAATCCGCACAGTGCAGATTCCAGGTCGAACGATAATGAGTGCGCATAAGAAATCTGTGAATAGTAGCTTAACGGCAGGAATGGCAACAGGGGCACGACACGTATAGATGAGCAATAATCAAGGCCGTCTGTGAATGAGGCCGTTTTACGTGCCTGAGGACTTCGTGTTTCCGTATTTTAGGTCTGACTTCCGATAGGCTAATCTGTGCCTTTATGGAAGCAGTTATAATTGCAGTTCCTGGTGTTTTATTCCATGTGCTGTTGGTGCTTTGATGATGGAGCCAACCAAGCACACGTTTTGGCTGTAATGGTTTCTGGAAGTCATAAAAAGAATAGGAAGGATCAGAGACACGAGACCCAAAATGTGAAGATATAAGGACGAAGGTGAACAATTGTGGTTTCCCAGCCCTATTTTAAACCATCTGTCTGGCTCTTTAGTCTGTTGCCGACTCGAGGGCTTGTCGTAGAGCATGTGTCAAGCCCCGAATTTCGTTTCGAATTCAAAAATGCCGCTCTTTTTATATTTTGTGTCCCAGTCAATGTTGCCCTTCCTAATTGGAGTCAAAAACACTATAATGCGCAATCAGCTTTATATCTATTTGTCGCATATTTCTAGTTAGACTAACACATGTGAATCCCATGTCTGTAACCGGATGTTTCATTTCGCCCCCATTGCCAACACAGGGTGTCGCCTAGCTCGTAATAATGAAGCAAAGTCTAATACATAATATCAAACAGATTATCGTATCAGATAGATTGCGTGGCAATTTAAGTGGGCAGATTTCCTTCTACTGCCTTTTTTTCCTAAAGGGTCTGGCGATAGAATAAAGGCATAAATTCGAATGCTTAAGTTTTACTGCAGCTGCACTTTGCGGTATTCGGAAAAATCGCTACCTGTGGCTGTTTGGCGCTTGTCCCCTATAGGCCGAAAGTTTTTGTACAGTTTGCCATTGCTATATCTTGAGCAGATATTTTAGAATTCCCAAACTATTTTTCACATCTCTTTTAATTGCCGAGCTAAGATCGACGTGTTTTGGTGAAAATATGTGGGTTTTGAAATTGCTCATTGCCATCAACAAACAGGAAGTACTGGTACTAGTGTAAAATAATCATACCGAACACAGGAAGTAGTCGCAGCCTCTCAAAGTCAGGAAATTGCTTAGTCTACGTAATGATATAATCTGTTTGTCGTTGCAACGAACACCCAGCGGGGTTGCGTTCGAATGTTTCCACGGACTGAGAGACCTTAGCCGCTGCAAATAAGCTAGCTTGTGATTTCGCCATTCATTTCGGAAAAGGGCTTTCACATATCCAATTTTCTTTGAAACACACCAACTTTAAAGGGATGCCGTCTGGGTTTGCTATAGTTACGATTTAGGAATAATCGACTCACAGGAAGTGTGCAATTCAAACTGTGAATAGACGGAGGATATAAACCAAACTGCCCCGCGATCGCCCACAGTTCATAAAAAAGAGATTAATTTATACAGATGGATCGCGCGTGACGCTGTGCCTCCAGTAATACGATAGTCCACCTTCGAATCCCCCAAAAAGGTTGTAATCATGCTGCGTCAAATTCCCCTGGTCATGAGCGCAAATTCAAGTTATAGTTTTATATACGTTCCGTAAACTTCGGAGGAGCAGTCAGAATCGAAATCTACTTAACCTCATGCATGTGTAAAGTTACGGCCTTAATTTCTGTGAGACAGTGAGCTGAAGGTTTCAGCGTCCAATTCAGCAAACCTAGGAGATCCCTCTAGGATGCTGTCTGTTAGAATGACAGGTTGTAAGTTCCTCTACACGCGGTTATTTTTATTTTCTGTCTGTAATTGCTAATTGTACAACTGCAATCGAATTTTTAAAACTCACATAGAGCGCAAATCTCTTTTACACAGTTTCCGAGCTAGGTCGACTGATAAACCTTGCGAACCGACTTTGGATTTCCTTCATTCTGTTAGTTTGGGGCATGTAGGTTTATCAACGAGATCTCTATGTGTGGGCGTTTACACCGCATTCTTGGCCGGAGTTTCCTACTGCAAACATTTTGGGGCCAAGATGGAGTTTTAGTTGCAGAAATAGAAAGTAAAAGCTCTAAAAATTCCAAACTGATATTCGTGCCTTGCATCACAAAAGTTGTTTGTCGTATCTCCTACTTGTGTCATTTAATTGGTCTAGTCCAGTCATTGGCTGACTCGACGTCCCGGTGGGAACGTGCTTAGTCGCCCAGGTTGGTGTCTACGCGGATACCTGTTTCGATGGGGTGTAGTGGTAAGCGTAGGCGAGAATTTACGCCAGGTCAGTCGCCTGCTTCCTCTTCAACCTTTGGTCGTCAGGCTAATAAAGCTCTTGTCCCGGCGTTTGTGTCTTCTTCTTCTTCCTCTTCTTCTTCTTCTTCAAAACCTTTGGTCGTCTCTACTCTGTCATGGCAACAGATCCGGGTGGGGGAGGAGGCAAAAGTGCAGTAGATGCATCGAAAGTATGTTATTACTGTAGACCAGTTCTCGCGTAAGTCACCGTCTCTGCTCTCTCCTGTTGTGGAGCACACCGTAGACATCGTCGAAATCGACGGTCGAACTGTCCCCATCACCTGCATTTTGGCATTGGGTAAATAACGAGCTATTGAACTTAAGGCGATACCTACCTCAGGGCGGTAAGAAAAAACAGGCAAGCTCTCTGGTCCAATAACTGAGTTTGAAATTCAGCTGTCGCAATAGGCCTCGTTATACCTGTTCTCGATTCTCATTCCAAGTTTCTCGGGTCAGAACTTTTGTACTGAGTTTTGACAGCATCCGCCAATTTACCAAAACGAGACTGAGCAACACGATCAACGGAGTGTTTAATTGCATTTCACCGGGTCAGAAGCCAAGATTTCGAACTGCAGTGCCTCCGAAAAATATTTGGAACTAATGGATGTCTGTTAAACTTCGGCAAAAGATACGAACGGGCGAGTAAACAACACCGTAGTCACATTTTTGCAACCAATTCCGTATGTCTAGAACTTCTTGGAAGTTGTCAACTGCCCATGCAATCTAATTTAATTTTATTTTGCACAGCACCCGGAGCCAGCCCTCCGTCAAGCAGTGAGGAGATCAGAAAACCCACTGTCACGACAATAAACCTCTAGAGTTATTTGTCCGACCTACTGCAGTTTCGAAAAAAATAAATACATGGGTGAAACGGGAGCTTTATTCAAACGCCGGTGCCGAACATTCATCAGTAATGAAGGAGGAGGAGGAGGAGGAGGAGTTGAGGTTACACTTCATAGTACACTCCAGGAGACCCGAACACACCTTTAGCTTCTAAATCTTAGTTAGAAATAGTAACTGCATGGGTTGTAAGCTTCACTAATTACTGTTATGCAACACACAGTATTTGAAAATGCTACGAAGGCTAAATATGTGAAAAACGGCAACAAATTAATTATGAAGTAGGGCGGAGTAATACCGTCTTTTTGGGGAAAGTACCTGACAACCACATTATCGAGTCATTTTCACCCCAATTACCAAAACTCTCAATAAAGACGCCCGCATCAAATGTTTGATCTTAGTCGAATGAACAATTATTGCTCCATTTAAAAACACCCACGGTGCACACTCCTCTGGTCACAAGACTGGCATTGGCTTATCAACTGCACACTACAACCATCGCAATCGCCTGTGCCTTTCAATTTCTTTTAGCTCACATCTGTGGTAATGTATTTTAGCGGTAATCGAAAGTTCGGATGAACAAAGATTTTGATGTAACGCGCCAATCTCCTCAAATATTTCTGCAACCCGTACTTTTGTGGCAGTCCGCACCAGTTAATTTATTATCCGTCTTGGTTGGCCTGCCCACAATCAACCAACTCATTCAATTACTTGCCTGTTCACTGTGCTGACGGAAAAGGTAGCAATTTCATTCTAGATTGTGCAGTATTTGGGCTTTTGAACAGCGACTTAAAAGATGGAATGTGCATTGTGATTACAGTTCATCCCTTCATTAGTCTTATAATGAATCAGTTTATCTGGACATTGCGGAGATGCGATTTTATTCGCTTAAATCCCCTCTATTTCGTTCACTCCTTCTCCCTCTCTCTGAGCTACGTAAAACTCGGACAACATCCTCTTCTAGATCTAAGTACCAAAACTGTTCCATGATCATCAAACTCTATGACACGGGTTGGACACTTTAACGTCTACTTTCAAGTACCAACCACTCTACCTGACTTTCGAATAATGGCGATGCCGGCATACTAACTGGTGCTTGATATTCAGTTTGACGGCGATAAGTATCTGTTTTTTGACTGTGAGGTCCAAGTTTTCTTGTCAGTTGGCAACCTTCCAAACCACAGCATTTAGCGTAACATGATGACTTCAAGCACACCAGATTGTTTATAGTGACGAAAATGCGCTGAGACGTCGGCCGCACTCTCCCATCCTATTCTGAGGTCCCAGCCATTGTCGAGCCGGTCAACTATCTGGTTGGCAGAACTAATTACCTCGTCTGTGCATGCCACTTATACGACCTATTCCCCAGACGGAAGTATCACGATTTCACACTAAATGGGTGGACAACATGGATATCACTTGCGTGAGAGTGCCAGAGGTCACGTTAAGTAGAAGACATTGCAGCCTGATTCTGAGTCCATCAGTCGGCCACTCCGCCCAAACACACACTGGGCTGACTCCTAGGTCAGAGTTCCATTGTCGGTTGGTAACCTTCAATGGCACGGCGCTCAGCGCACCGTGCTAATCTCAGGCTCGGATAACACATACAGCTGGGGAGCTACAGGGAGAAGTTGTTAAGTAACGCACTTACCGCTTACGTGAGAGGAGCCAATTACGTGATTGCGTTGTGTGATGTCGGATGTGGTCATGTGTACTGTAGCAGGTGGTGAGGAGAGATGTGGTGATACGGTATAGCCGGTGGTGTTCTGTCGCAGGTTTCCATAGAGATGCGTGTGACCTGATATGCCCACGAGATAGTTGAATGTGCGAGAACAGTGCTGGCAATTGAGGCAATGGCGTCTAGTGTATGTCGGTGCTCCAGGTACTGGTTTACCGGACTCAGACCGGTGGATTCTCAAGTGCCCGACCAGGCCGATGCGCGGGGTGAAAATGGGGTGACAGTGTGGCAATATGACAATGTGTCTACATTGAAAACGGCCACTACCACCGTTAACACGGGGAGCAATGTGACTAGTGCATGAGGAGGCTTATGACGGATGCGAATCATGCAGTACCACCCTCATTGTCCCTCCTAATTCGTGTGTCATCCTGTGGAAAAAGGAGACCCAGATGATTAACGACAGGACAAGACTCAGTCGGTGCTTAGAAAATAAGCTCTGTTTATGAGTGCCACGACAAGAACGAATCAAACTACCGGTATAGGTTAAGTGGGTGGTGAGTTATGGCTAGCCCTCACAGAATTAAGACAGCTAGTAGGACTGGTTAGCAGGATGTTATCCCTACGCAGCACACAGATTTGTTGACTGACCGCTAGAAGCTGAACCTCATATACGGTAGACCTACGGACTACAGCGTACAGAGGAACGTCTAATACGACCGTCAAGTCACAGAACTAAGGGCAAGGACATGACATGTGGCTATAATATGTTTATTATCCACAACTATCTACTATATTTAAGTAGGCATTGGTTGGTGTGTTTTGGATCGCGTACTTTCTCTACGGCAGTTACAAACTTGCCTCGGCCTGTTCTTTTTCAGTGATAGTGTGCCTGCCGTAAAGCCGCTGATGGGTATGATCCCTGTCAGCGGAATCTTGCTTTTGGTTTCACCCTAATGCGCCTTAGATTCTTTGTTCTCCACGAACCTTCTTTTCCTTTCACTAGGGGCCAATGTTAGATTTCTGCCTTAATATTCATGCATTCGGATAGCTTACCTCGCTACATCCAACCTTCGCCTACCGTTTCACTAGCAGCTGCGTTGCTTGGATTATTCCTATTGGTCTGGCGACCGCTAACATGGGTGATTTCGTCATCCTTACTTCCTGGACCTCATCGTCCATATCCTGACGTTGTACAGAGTTTTCCTGTTGTTTGCAGGGGCTGGACATTCTTCGTAATTCATCTTCAGGCCTTACGGTTTTTGTTTTTTAACCAAATATCACCATCTGCTTCGGTTTGAAGGTTTCGCCGTCCTTTGATAGTGTTGTTTTCAATGCAGGCATTGTCGCCCGCAAGGGTTGCCATTCATTCACGAAGAATATCCATCTGTTATCATTTCCCGTCACCCGCCGATTTAAATTCCCACCTATCCCCTCAAAAATTATCGGAGAGTCTGGTTGGAATTACTTTATGTACAGGAAAGTACTGACACCCACACGGCAGTCTGTTATGCAAGACAATTCCTCCAGTTCACCGGTAGGGATGTTCCGCTGACGACACAAAGCCAAGATATGCGCGGACGCAGTTACTGACAAATCTAAGCAGACCGCCTACTAGTGCCACAAACGACCTGGTCCCAACGCCATGTAGCAGGTTTTCACGATGATGGCTCAGAGGTCACCTGTGTAAGAGTGCCGTACAGACCACATTAAGAAGGAACCATTGAAACACTACTCTCTCCCTCTCTCTCTGTCTCTCTCTCCCTCTCTCTCACATACACACACATGATGGTTGGACCATCGGTTTCGTCTATGTCCACCGTGTGCTCCATTGCAGAGTGGGACCAGGGACGGTGACTTCTGAGAGACTTAGTTTATAGTGAAAGTAAGCATTCACAGCATCTACCGCACTCTCCTCCTCCTCCCCCACCTTGGTCCCGTGTCAAGACGGAGTCAAGAAGACCGCAGACGGGGGAGGGCGCAGGTGGATGGCACGATCGAGCCCGCAACTTGGCGTTCCACTCCACATCCCCTGGTCCACACATCAAAAAACCCGGTTTCTGACCAAAAGTCAACAGAGAATGGCGGCTGGCACGACCGAAGCCACACCTAGGCGCGCTGCCCACCCCCGGTTTTGATCCCACACAGTGGGAGTGTCATAAAGACCACATTAAGAAGGAGCCACTGCAGCCTGACTCTCAGACCACCAGCCAGCCACTTCACACAAACACACAACAATGGGCCTAATGCGAGGTCCAAGTTATCCCGTCAGTTGGCAACCTTCCAAGCCACGGCTTTTAGCGCACCGTGATAGCTTTAAGCGCATCAGATTGTTTTTAGTGAGTGAAATGCTCTGAGTCGTCAACCTCACTCTCCCTTTCCATTCCCATGCCTCAGCCACAGTCCGAGCCGCTCGACTGACTGGAGCGGGTAATGGGCGCGGTGGCTGGCATAGTCTAGTGACCTTGTCTGCGCGCGCCACATGCACGACCTGGCCCCCCAAACACAAGCACCAGGATTTCACACAACGGGGGTTGAACGGCGTACCTCTCACATGTGTGAGAGTGCTGTGGAAGGAGCTGTTTCAATCCGGCTCTCAGCCCACCAGCCCGCCACTCCACACAAATACGCACACAACTGGACGAACTGTGTGGACGGAATTGGGGCGTCAGTCAGCAGCCTTCCAGCCACGGCGCTTGGCGAGCCGAGGTAGTCTCAGGCTCGAGTCACCCATACAGCAGGAGTCACACGGAGGACGAGTCGAGACGCACATCTCCCACTTGCGCAGGAGATGACAACCAGATGTTTGTGGCGGGGGGGATGAAGTGCGAGGAGATGATGGTGTGATGGTGTAGTACATCCGGCGGTTGTCAATCGCAGGTTTTCGTGAATGCGCATGTGGCCGAATAGGCCCATGCGGTGCATGAATGTGCGAAGGCAGTGTGGACAGTGGAGGCGGTTGCGGCAGGTGTAGGTTGGTGTTGCAGGCACTGGTTCGCCAGTCTCTGTGCGATGGACTCGCAAGTGACCGACCAGGCCGACGTGTGGGGTGAAGGTGCGGTCTTAATGAGGACAGGTATAATCCAAATCCTCACCATTGGTGTCGTCGATGGTGGTGCTGGTGTTTGTTGCTGCGTCAGGTTTGTGAGTAGTATTGATTTGCATGGCAGACGTCCACAACGGCATATGTTG